TATATATTGTGAACGCTTGTAAAGAAACTTGTATAAAAAGACCAAAATTAAAGTAGACTCAATTGTGATTCTTATCATCATTATACACAAAAAAACACATTCTTGTCATTGAGTTAAAAAAAAAAGTATCATATCAAATGAAAGTTTTCTGTTTTTGTTGAGCTGTACCTTTGAATAAGTTTTAGCTTTTAAACTAAAACAATGAATTTGAGCAATATGTTTGGTTTTTGTTGATACTCCGCTGGACATGTCGGACCTCTTGTCAGCAAATTTATGGCGCAACTGCTGCTGTACAGTGTAATTACATTCTTGAATCTAGGACTTATAACTGTTATAAGTCTTTGGTGTAATACCATTCTGGAATTCTTTGCATAAATTAGCTGTTTAATGAATTTTATTATTTTCATTGTAGTAAAGTCTGTGCGTGTTTTGATTTTTCAAAACGCATTATTTATTTAGGGGTTTTCAAAACATAAAATATAAAATATTGTTACATTCTCTCTGCAGAATAAATATAATGGATTTTTTTATTGGTAGATATGACAAGACAATAACTTCATCTTGGTTTAATAATTCCAATATAGATTCAGTGATTCATTTAAAAAATTAAATAATGATCTACAAATTTATGTTTCTACAGTACTAAAAAAAAACATTAATAACCGACACAGAAGACACTGGTAATACAAATCAATCATGTAATTCCTTTTTACTTTAACATTGTTTTCACAAAGAAAATAGAAATTACAATAACAAAATTTAAGCTTAATTTAATTAATTTAAATTTACTGTTTCTATCAACGAGTAAATACATCCACATTGTTTATAATAACAACAATAACTTCTAAATAGAAACAGTTGTTTTGTTTTTGACTATCAAGAGGTCAATGGCATTATTCATCTCTCCTCAGGTGGTTTGGCTAAGGTTTACATCCTTCTTCTTAAGCCACTTGTGTCGTCTTCTATCCGCACTTATCACAAATCTACTTGAGGTACCTGAAAACAGAGATGCAATAATAAATAATCAATCAATACCAGATTTATAACTGCACAAAATTTCACAACAAAATTCTGAACAGTGGCAGAACACCATAAATTTACAAATAAGCGCTTCAGAGTGGCCGTTACTCAAGAGAGTGTTATTATTCAGGAGTGGTTCTCATTAATTAAAAATTATCTGAATGTTATTGATACCATTTTGCACATAGGCCTATTTGACTTGTAGGCCTACCTGACTTGTAGAAATGATAAGTTTTTTTTAAACAGGGAAATCGCACAAAGAACCATTTTAGGTAATGGGCTATAAATCAAGTGCTTTGGGGAGCCAAAGGAAAGAGTTTACATTCATCTTAAATAAATAAAGGGAGGCCATAAACTTGAGAAGGACAATCACTAGGTAGTTCATTCCAAAGAGAAATGCAACATGAAAGTATAGCTTTTTGTTTTGCATCTGGGACTAACAACGTTGAATCTGCGAATCTTTGATAAGTATAGAGTTTCATGCGCAAACTCTGTAAAAGGATAATCAAGTTAGTTAGGCTGAATGAACATTTGCCAAACATTATATATTCGAAATGTTGTTTATTAGTGTCCCGGATTTACAAAAAATTACTGGCATATTAAATAATAAGTGTAGCAAAACATGTTAACAAATTAATTAATGCCACAGAAATTATTCAAGAGAATCACATAGTTTGAAACAGAGTTCATTCAAGAGTGGGGTGTATACAAGAGGAGTGCATATTCAAGAACAGCACTTATTCAATCATTTACGGTATTTTTGACTCAGATAAATTATTGTATAACTGATTGTTCGATGATGAGCTACATATCAAAAATAGGACAACAAAATTGTTGTGCTGCATCAATCACAGTTACATTTGGAAATCATGTTTGGTCAAAATTTGTAAAATTTTATCATAGGCCTAATTTTGGGGCTCATTATCAACCATTCCACACACACTATAATATGTGCATCAGTGACAAAATCAAGGGACAGATCCAGGGGACAAGGGTGCCAGGCCCAACCCCTCCTAAAAAAAAAAAAAAAAGAGGGAAGGAGGAGAAAGAGGGGAGCATGGTACTCCAAAACAAATTAATTTTCAATTTAAGTTCCATGTACCAGTGTCATGGTCAAGCATCGCTAAACAAAAATTGTCAACCTCAAATCCCACCGCCCAACCTCAGTACTTTGCACATCGCATGGCCTCCTACCCAGATTTTTTTCTGGGTCTGCCACTGAAATCCGCAGATGTTATGGGATAATCTTTTGTTTATCAATACGTGGTCTTAGCAGTGGTCTTATAGGGATGACTATTGTAAAAGTTAATTGATAATTCTGGATCTGTAATTTACCAGTTGTTTTATCAATTGGCATGTATTAAGTGAATATAATTTAAAGATCTTACTGGGTTGATGATTACTGAATTCAACTTTGACCTTTGGTATGTTCAGAGGCACTTGCATCACACCTTTCTTCTTCTTTCCTGAAATGACAAAATGGTGAAAGTCTAAAGCAATTTATGATGTAATACAATAATACTGAAATGACAGCCTATTAATCTACACTATGGAACCAAGGCATTTCTATATACTATACACAAGGACACTCATCTCGGGACATCAATGGTTATAGCTCAACATTCTACCTGTTATGCGTCCCTACACGCTAAGATGCACTGATCGTCACAACACTGTTATAATATTACCCATGCGCGTGTCAGTTGCCATGAAAAATGCGTGTTGTGCAGTGATTACAAAGGTCTAATTATTTTTTTGCATTAACATTAGACTGAAATTACAGTATATTTGTTATTTCAAAATTAATTTTACCGATGAGGTGGTGTCCGGCGGTCCATAAGACTCCCTTCACAGAAAAAATATATAAATTTTCTGTATCTACTCAAATGACTAATAATTGACGACTGTACTCTCAACTAGTATCGGCTTGTCAAAGCCACAGTTAAGATCAAAGGACTACAAATGCGCTATGGTTGAGAGCGGAGATTATCGTCCATTCGTTAAATTGATGGAACTAATGTATAAGAGCTATGACTTCATGGTTAAGATGTTTGACTTGAAATCACAGAGTCCTGGGTCCAAATCCTATAACCCAAGAATTTTCTCACAACTAAAAACATAACTCCACTTCCTACACCTTGTGATGAGGTTTTGTTTTTAGAGTATAACATAATTTGTTTATTTGGTTCAGTATAAAAATTTTCACATCAATCTCAGTAACCAAGCATGTGAATTTACATTAAAAAAAAAAAGCAATGAACAAAATTATTAATTATTATCAAACATAGAACAATACAATTCAACATTATTTAATATTGTTTACAATTCTAGGTAGATGCCTACTGTATTAAATTGTTAATACTTATAATTATGGTGTAATATTCACTTGAACATAAAATTGTACAAATTTAAATGTATAAAATATAAACAAATATTTTCAGGGGATTCAGAATATCAAACGATTTTGATCCTGGCTGGGAGGGTCACCTTTATCAGCATAGTTAAATTAAAAAGGAAAATAAAATAACAACAATAAGAACCATTTTAAATTTTCAACTAACCTTGCTTGTTTTTGCTTAATTTTGGTTCAGTTATTTGCATTTTCTTCTTCTTTTCTCTTTTCCGACGTTTTTGAAATTTTTTCGAAGCAATGGATATATCAGCAGTAGAAACGGCATCAGACATGCGATTACGCTGTTTTAATCTATATCGTCTCCTTTTTTCTTCCTTATTAGTGGGAGTTTGGTTATGTTTTCTCATATTTTCGCTAAATATTTTCTTTATTTTCTTCGGTATTTGATTTTGATTGTTGCGTACTACTGCATCTGGGAAGCCCCAAACGAGTCCCAATGGTGTCCTTGAATTAGCATTATCCTCCTCCTCGTTGTCTTCTATATGTAATATACTACTTTCATCATTTCTTTCTTCCAAATCAGGCAAAATAATAACATCCTGATCTTCGCAGACAGCAGCCTTCTCTGTCTTTCTTTTTTTACGCTTCTTTGGCGTTTCTTCACATGCGCTACCATCTGAAATGACGATAATATCCGTTTTCCCATTGCCGCCCTCTCCCTCACTACTTAAGACAATTATATCCTCTTCAGCAACCCTTTTTCTTGTGCTGACTGTTTCAAGGTAGATGACATTATCATCAACAACGGTTTTATCTTTGTCACTAGAGGGCGTTTTTGAACCAACAGCATTTTCCTCTTTGGCATTTGTCTCAGTTTCTATCTTTTTCTTTTTCTTTGATTTCTTTTTAGTCTTTTTATTTTCATCCACTCTTGTTTCTGTTTCTTCCATCTGTTCTGCTCCTCTCTTCTTTTCTTCCACTTGTTTTGCTTTCTTGCAGTTAACTTTTCTCTTTTTTCCAGATTTTGAAATTACTATTTCTAAATCTTTTTCTTCTTGTTGTTTCTCCACCGTCTGAAGTAATTTTAATTTCTTTTTCTTTTTTTTCTTTCCTTTATCTTTACTATTGGTAATGTCTGAAGGTTCATGTTCAGTTGGCCAAGTAGAAGATACTTCTGAAAGAAATAATTAACAGAATTAAATCATAGACTCTTACTGGGCTCCGGAGGATAACAATGCTTTTATGCACTATCAGTCTACCCAGGGTAAAACAAAAAAATAAATAAAAAAATAAAAAAATAAAACTATACAATTTTGACATAGCAGCCATGGACTTGAGGTAAGAGGGTCACTCAACGGTCACCAATTTTTCTCCCCACATATCAGACTATTTGATTGGTGGAGGGGTTAAGGGAGGGGCGCTGCAACCTACAGCCATAATGTCGGTGTTGGTTCGAGCAGCAGGCTCGTCTATGACTATGGTAGTAAAATAAGTCTTCACGGGATAACGACTATAAACCGTAGGACCAGTATGCACATGGCTTATGTACACTGTAGTATAACGAATCTAGTACATCATTCAAGACGAGTAAAGGAAACCCGGATTAGTGGTACAGACAGCCCCTGTGGTTAAAGATGGGAGTTGCTGGTACCTCTTTACCAGGTAGCACAGGCACGAAGGGACCACTTAGAGGTGAAGATAGTCACCGAATGAGTTACTAGCCAACACATCAAGCGCCATGAGCATCTTATAAGGCCCTATCCACACTATCAAATTCTATGTGACAAGCCCATATATATATTCATGATGTGTCTATATATGGTCAAGATGTGATGTCGTCATGACCATATTTAGGCATGTCACATGTTTTTATCATATGAAATTTAATAGTCTGGACAAGACCTAACAAAAAAATAATCAATGTATGAATCTTGACCTTCATCAAATAAAATATAATCTAGTCTTATGCTAAGTGTACCTACCAGGTTCATTGTCCGTCGTTTTATAAGCGGTACATACAAACGATTTGAAACTGTAGTTGCAAACAAACGGATAGTTCACTTTGACGTAGCGATCCATCCTATCAGCCGTACATTCCTGGAAGAGAAATCATAATTATTTTTGAATTTACATTTTTCTGGGACTTAAGAATAAAAATAAATTAGAAACTGGGTGGCAACTATTTTATTTTTATTAGGTTGAAAAAACATATAATTAGTTTTTGTATTTTATCATCCATTGATTATTGATTGGTATCTTTGAGGCATGTTATGGTGAAATGGTTGAGTTGTCATTCAGGCCAGTATTGTGTAAATGAGCTACAAAATATGGGAGCTCAAAAAATGGCCTAAAAATCAAACAGTTTTTTCCCACTATAAATAAACAGTTTAACATCCAATTAATCAATTTTTAAAGACTTAGTTCTGGAAACGGTCAACAAACAATTTATTTGTTATTTTGAAAGATATTTCCATTAAACAATTAGAGTATGCACAAATAACTTTAGAAGGAGATTACTGAAAATTATTTTTATCTTCTCTGACACTAAGGGTGCTGTACTTTCACTCTCCAATTTACATTAAGGCTCAAAATGTCCAATTTTTTATGAATGACCCCTCATTTTACAGATTACATACATACTCAGGTATGTAAAAACACCAATAACTTGGAACTTAAATTTTTCCTACAACTTGGCCATTTTGCCACAACATGCTCATTATACCAACTAAAATGCATAAGGTTAGTGAGCAGCCATAAATTACTGTATAAAAAAAATTTAAATAGATCTTGATTTTCAATTGTTACTATGCTTTGTCAACACAATATTTTGTTGCTAAAGCTATGTTGCCCTTGCGACTCAACTGACTATTGGCATCTTGCTTACCAGTAACTGCTAAGCAACCATTGCCATTTACTCTCAGTTGCTGGCAGAGTAACTTGCAGTTGCTCATGTTCTATTTTGGTGCGATTCAAAACAACTGACTAGTAATTGAATGGTCATGTGACAATAGTAACCCGCCCAGTATAGTCTATTTAATGCGCACATACCATTCGCACTAACATTCTATCAAATTATGGCAGCGTTGCATTGCAACTAGGGCCTAGTTTTAGATTATTTACAGAAGCAACATAAACTACTTCTACCTAGATGCTTGTAGTTGCTTGCAGTTGTGTGACTGCGAGTAAAAGTCAACATGAGTGCTACCAGTAACTGAGGTTATTAGTTTAGTCGAGTGCCAGGTGCAAAAGTGTACCGTAACAATTACCACTTTTAGTTTTATAATTATAAAGATATATATATTGAATAAAAGTAGAACCTACATAACCCAAGTGGCCCTCTTTGCCACAGTTATAGCAGTACATCTGCTTCATAATTTCTTCAGCACCAAACAGCAATCTTGGCCTGGATTTCTGAAATGGGGGAAAAATCATTATAACATCAATCAATCAAGTATATCTTACAACTATATTCATGATTTGTTGAGGAATAGTCTAAAAAATGTTGTCAATCAGGGCTGAAAATTAACCTCCAAACCATAGTGGCCAGCAGGCTCTGTAAGGAAAAAATGATACTGGCTCTTCCAAAAGTTCTACTGGTCCTATTTTTTTTACGGTTGAAATATAATTTTACAAAAAAACAAAATCAATAAAACCAGCAAGATGACATTGGTTTAATACTTTTTAGCCAACTGAATCTGTCTTTAGCAAAAATCATTAGTCTGAGCTGTCAAGAGTCTCGGTCAGGGTACCAGAGAAAAATCTATTGTATTAGTTCATAGCACGAGAGTTTTTATGGCCCAAAATTTTAGAACACATAGTGGAACCATAGTTTCTCCAGAAAACTTGTATTTTATGCATTTTCACTTCAGCATAATTATGTAGGGGGAAATAAAGTCCCAACAAGGTATATTCAACATTGGCTTGGGTCTGATCGTCTGGAAATGGGCCCAATCGTGTCACCCAAATTTTTCACCGGGATGATCAAGGACTTACGATCTGGGCCTAGGCTAGACTTCGCTCTAAAGTACCTACAACGTGTAACAAAGTAACCCACATGGTGCATTCTTAAAATATTATACACATTACTTAAATGTATTTTACATATCAGACGAGAACACGAAATCATTGCTTAAATGATTATTAATAGCATTTTTACCACCATCGCACGCAGAGGCCTTGATCTAAAATAGGACCTTGTTGGTAAAACACAAGCTCGGAAGTCATTATGTACCGACGGTTGGTTGCCTTTAGATCTACTTTGTTGTCAGTTTGCGGCCAAAGGGTATACTACCAGCTAGCCGGCTGTCGTGAATATAGTACCTTCATGTAGTCATAGTTTATTTATTATCGCCCACACCAAAAAAGGTCGATCGGTTAGCGTTAGCCCAGTAAGGGTTGCCAAACGGACGATACCCAAGACATCTATTATCGGGCGACTGCTAATTTTCAGCCATGGTCAATGATTTCAAATAAAAGATAAAAAGTTTTTGCTTGTTTGTTAAAATACCCAATGTGGTAATGAATTCAAAATCTAAGAAAGTTGTTTTAATAATAGCATGCTAGGTCTAGACTAGCAGCCATATTGGATACCAAGATGAGATGACAGTATTCAATGTTTCACTGATGTGTTGTCAAAAAAAAGAGCTTACTTACTGTTGTTAAATGAAACTGCCGCCACCTATCTGCACACGTCTGTAAATAAGGTAAAAAAAAATATGTAAATGTAAAAAGAGCAAGTTCAAAACATTATATTTCATCCTGTATCCCGCTGACAAAAATTAATTAGTTACAATTTATATTTTTACATCCAACCAATGTGATTTTTTACTATTTTCTGTGGTTAACTTTGTAAATATCTTTGAATTTTTCAAGGAAGGAAGATACTGTACATTTTAGGTCAGAGGCAATAATTATAGCCTCCTAAAGCCCATACAGACTATAAAATGTGACCTGCCCAAATATGATGACATCACATCATGACCATATATAGGCACATTATGCACTTATTATGGGCAGTCCTTAAAAGTATAGACAGCTAACTCGTTAAGACTGCAGTGGACAATCTGAAACTACATCACGATCATAATCGGCTAAAGATTAAGACCATACTGAGAATGCTTATACCAATGTGCTCAAATATTTACCTGTATTTAGTGCTTAAGTTAAAAAAATAAAAATCAAACATTATAATTATTCATACACTTTACAATTTAACTAACATCAAAACACAATAGATGATTATTCTGTCATTAAAAATCAATCATCTCTTACGGCCATTCCATGTCCAGACATATAGCAACGTTTGCAGACCGTGGTCCAGTGTATGCGTTTCTTGGTGCAGGACTTGCTTTCGTGGCCTGGGGAGTCACAGTTGTAGCATAGCTGGTTGGGGCATGCCTTGTAATAATGACCCTGGACTCCGCACATGATACACGCTATAGGTTTCTGTCAAAATAAAGAAGTAATAAGGTTGTTTTAGTTATCAAAAAATTTGCTTGAAGTTCTACAATATAAAGACCTCAACATTTAGCAAAATTACAATTGTAATTGAATTACATTTTTATTTGAATTTCAACTACAGGAAAAATCATCAAACAAATCATCTCCACCACTACTGGAACAGAGGAATATTATTATAAAGTTATGTCCAGACCTCTGGCGTATGAAGAGAATTGCACTTTATTCCAATATCCAAACTTTGTTAGTTTGAATCCCACAAAGCCAATATTTTTCTTTGCTAATGCAATTTAGTGGACAGTGCATTCTAAACATCTCTGTGGAAACTCTATTAAGGGACATCCTTAATTGAACAGTTCCTCAACAGAGTTGAAGAATATGATTTCTCTCTTTTATTATTTAAGGTAGTCCCTATATATATGATCATATTTAGAGTTTCCACATTATGTTATACCAAAGAGTATACTATAGATAGAACAAAAGAGCCTAGTACGTTCACTGAAAGTGTAAACAAACGATACGCCATACGCAGCCAGTGGAGGACGTCTGCTGGAGTAGAGTTACCCAGTACTGCACCATGCATGCTTTGTTTGTTAGTTTACTGACTTTTCCACATGACACAGTGCTTCTGAAGAGCACAGTGGATTTACTTCTTTTTTTTGATCATCATACCATTGAAGTGTGCGCACTTCCAGAAAAAAAAACAACCTCATACATACGGTAGTGGGCGCACTCCATAACAACGATGGCGACTTTCATCGTAACTAGTGGAGTGACACATATTTACAAATGAGAGTTCGCTCTCTTGTTCTATTATTAATACTCTTTGGTTGTACCATATAAATTATGAAATAATTAATAATAATTATAATAATATACCTTTGCTTCTGGACAATCACTCATATAATGTCCTACTTCGTTACAATTGTAGCACTTTCCCTTCTTGCTTGTTGGTTCCTCAAAGTATCTGGCTGGCTTTTTAGCTTTTTTTTTTGAAGGGGATGTATCTTCATTTGAGGCAAAGTGTACCTGAAGATTCTCATCTTCGCTGGTGGATTCGATGATAATACAACAGTCATCATCACTTTCACTACCTTTCAGCAACCTATCAATGCTCGTCTTCGTCTTTGAAGTTCTATTAGAATCCTTCAGAACGTTATTTTTATTCGAGTGACAAGAGGGCGAGTTTTCTCCAAGGACTCCATTTCTTAAATTGGGACGGGTCAAGTCTGTGTCAGATTCATAGTCTGAACTTTCGTCTGCAAAATCCTTGATATTTTTCACCGAATTGAAATCCAATGATTTTGATTTGAAGTCGGATGCCTTTCTACATATGCTCAAAAATTTCGAAATTTCATCATCATCAACCAGGATATGAGAATCCTGATGACATGGAAGGTCAATTCGATCAGTTGCTATCACATCCTCTTTTGAGTCTAATTTCTGGGGTGTTGCTGTGTGCGAGGGAGCACTTGATAGTGATGGAAGTTCATGTTTACTGTGATGGGACCAGGAATTTTCATCTTGTTTATCTGTTACTTCATGGATGCTGTCGTTGGCAGCGATGGATTCTGAATAGTGTACAGCCTGATAGAGGGCCTCCTCTATCTCTTGATGTTCATCTTCACTGTTAATATCATCATCCTGACCAACTCCAAGCACTTGAAGTTCATATTCCTCTTCTGTCATTCCATTCATTTTTTAAGGTTTTTTTTCTGCAAAAAAGAATACAAATTCTGAACTGTCAATGCTTATTAATTCCTGGTCTAACTGAATGACCTTACTGACCTGAATAAACACCCACAAACAAAGGACTTTTTTAATGAAAATAAATTTAAATTAAACTTTAAATTAAAGCCCTTTTTGAATGTAAAAACTCTCGGTTCCAGCAGTAGGTTGACACAGGCATGGGGCCAATTACAGTGAAAATGTATTCAATTACAAAATACAGTTACTCTATATTTTCCAATTACAATTATAATTACTTAATTTTCCCCCATTACAAATTACGATTACATTTTCTCAATTACGATTACAAATTTACATTTCCATTTTGATGTTCGGACTAAATCACATAAATAAAAAAATCATAATTGCAGGCAATCACACTAATACATCAGATAGAAATATTTGATTGTTTTATGGAGTAAATACACAGTTGGTAATAATAATAATTCCACTGCCTTCAGTAAAGGAGAACAATTTCTTTCTGGTAAGTCGTAGCTAGTTTGAATAAAAGTAAACAAATATTAATCTTAAATAGTAAAAAAAAAACGTATACTGTACAAATTAACAAACCCAAATTGCTTTTAAAGCGGTTGGTCATATTAAGTATGTGGAAGTACTATAGCACTATTTGGTACACGAAACCAGACGAATGCAAAACTTATTAAAATATTAACACACGAGAGTAGAAAACGGATTGATAATAAATAAAAACCACCTTTTATTGTGATAGTTGTCCGAATTATGGTAAAAATTGACTGTTTTAAAACAGTTTTTTGCTGCCGTGCTTCAGAAGGTAATGTGTTGACATTGAGTATCTATAACGCATTGACGTCTGCAGAAACGCGTTCAACTATGATCTTTTAAATCGGCCCACTACACTCACTACGTATGTTATATTTCATCGAGAGACTATTATTTTAAAATATTCAAGGCACACCATATAAAGGCTAATAAACTTTAA